ACGGGGCGAGGGGGGGGCGAGGGGGGGGAGGGGGGAGGGATACAATGAAGATGAAGGAGAACAGAATAGAAGACGTATTGTTTCTATTGTTTGTATCGTTTGTATTGGATAAAACTGATCAACGCCACAGTCGTAATGAAGGCGACTCGCAAGGAGCAAGGATGAAAGCACTTGCGAAGAAACAGCACAGAAATGATAGCGGTGAAGAAAGTGAGAAATGGTGAACAAAGAGGGTGAATCACATGCAGTGATGTTATTTTAGAGGATATCGAAACTATCGGGTGTAATAACATGAAGAAAACGAAGAGCAGCCCACATCTCACGAGATTATAAGTTGAGGAAGATATTGAAATGATCAGTGTTGCCTATGTGAATGGTCTATCCAAATTCCGAAAGGAGGAGTGCAGTGATGAAACAAAGAACTTTTGGTATTAGCAAACATCTTGCGAGTGATAGAAACGCATGCGTGTAAGATCATGATCAGACAGGTGCAGTAAAATGTGTCTGATTCAATCATGTACATAATGTTCACATCAAAACTCAAGAGAAAAGGAAGGAATGGGTGTCACTGTAAGAAAGCAGAGGGCAATGGGCGAACTGTTGACGGATTGTCCCGTCGCAACGGTAGAGCTTTCTGTTGCTCATGGGGCAACAGAGCGTATCCTATCTCAACGGCAAACTCTCTCCATCTGCGTCCATCCCACTTCCTGCTCCCTTCGGCCCCATCACCGTAGCAGACTTTGACGAGAGGGCTGCGGTCAGAGAACAAGAGCATTCCGACCTGAGCAAGCAGAATGAGCGCGAGGAAGGGACACAAACAAAGTCACCAGCAGCGGCCCCCATGCTAAGATCCAATCATGCGCTTTGTAATAATGGCCGTATGCTCCAAGATATCCGCCGAAGTAATGCGTCCACTGAGAATGAACGCACAGAGGTCAGCGTGGAGGGATGAGAATGCATCTCTCAGTTATCGCATGGATACAAGTGAACTCACCTGCACCATCCTCTGGTGTCGCGGAGAAACTGACGCTGGCAACAAAATCTACAAGAAGAGTGAGAAGGGCAGCGCACAGACGACCCGAGAGGGAAGGTTACCTGGACGACCATCGAGACCCAGACAAGGTTCAGCCCCAGGGATGTCACTATCATCTCAACCTGCGTCCTCCCTCCTCCTTGCCTGGCAGCAAGGAAGCCGTTAGGCTAGAAAACAAGAAATGAAGCGCGCCACTGCACCGGAGCATCGCGTAAATGGCTGGTGAGATGTACAAGACGGAAGACCAACTGCAAACGCTGGGAGCAACTTAACGAGAGGACTTGGCATCGATTAAACACACCTCCACATTATCAGAGCTCTCTCAATGTTCGTTTCCTCCGTTTCCTTGTTGCTTCTGGGCGCAGCGTTCGGCTGCTCCTTCATTTCCCCTTTCCTCCTCTCCAGGTGGTGAAGAACTATCCGCAACAGCCCGCCAAGCCCCAACTGAGAACAGATCCCGTCAAGACGAGTCTATATCACTGGCCTCCTGGATATCCTTTAGAATGTCTTACTCCAACGTCAAGAAGAACGATGCGGCGCGGTGTCCACTGGTCCACAAAGGTGAGCAAGAATATCTGACTATCGAGGTCAGGGTTCTCAGATTGTCTTGTTCATCTGCTCACGGATTGGAGGAGGATAGAAACGCAGACAACAGCACGGAGGTGTTTGTATGAGCTCGAGATCATCATCCTTTGAAAGGCCATGGTTACCGATACTGTACCGAGCAATGATGAGTGACCACTTCTTGGACAACAAGGTGATACACTGCTTGCACCGCATGATGCATTATACAGGACTGATCACAACAGAGAACATCCTCTCAGGTCTCCTCCACTCACCCTCCTCCGACAACGGCATGCGCGCCCCCGCCATCCCCATCACCACGCCAAGGGGCGACAGGCCTTCCATGGCGACCAAGTGCCCTCATCCCCTGACCTCGTCGGGATTGAATCGATTCAAACTGTAACTTCGGAAAAAAAATTGATTTTGAAGTTTGATCGGACTCCGGGACCCGGCCCCGTACCGCCGCCGGTTCACTCGGCCAGCCCGGCGGCCCCGATCATTCATGATGTTCGGAAGTTCGATATGAATCGTCCGATAGAGCAGTGAACAGTCACAGTTACTTCTCAGGGCCGAGTCATTGGGCCGAGTCATCACTGATTTCTCCCGGAACTGCGGGATAGTAGTACCCTTCCTCCTCTTCCTCCGGGAAGGTCCTCTCCTCCTGGCAGGAGTCCTGGACGGTCCTCTGAGCAGCCATCATTTCATATGGTTTATAGCAGTGCGGCTCGAGTCTGATTTTTGTTTCCTTAACCGTCACTAAACTTTTTGTTTCTCAGCGTCATCATTGAATCAGCAGCTCTCAGGTTTCATCCCACGGATCAATGATGCCTCTAGACGTCTACGTGCTGCCTGGCCGCGAATTCACTCCAGCAGTCCCCCAGGGTACCCTGCCAGCCCCTCTTGGCCCGGGAGTCTCTCCGGTTTACGTCCCAACATACGTACAGAGTCTGCAGAGATTGGTCTGCCCCGTGACACCGAGCGAGATGGCGGCGAGGCTGAGAGCAGCAAGACGGGAGATTCTAGGTGAAGATGGGAGGAGGAGGGGACAAGGCATGACTGTCCCGCCAGGACAACTCCTGATCACCAACGCCCGACAGGCTTGCGTACGAACAGTGAACGAGAGCGGTTCGCTTGAGGACGGGGAGCCCGAAGAGGGAGGGGAGGAAGAAAATCAAGTCAAGATCTGCGAGATCTGCCAGGCGGAGTACGAGCCGCAGGAGTCGGTGACCTTCCTTCCTTGCGGCCACTTCTTTCATTCTCGCTGCATAACCCGGTGAGCCTCGCTATAGCAAGTCCTGAAGATGATGAGGACGCAGGTGGATCGATACCCGTCTCAACGGTTCATGATCGCTATCCCCTCCCCCTCGTCCCTGACTCGTTTCCTTGCAGCTCTGCAGCTCTGCAGCTGCCCGCTGTGCCGACGTCACGTTCCTTGCTCGCTGCAACAGGAGGAGGGAGGCAACCGTGGCATCGAGTGGCAGCAGGAGTCTCGATGGTTCATGGTCACCCACTGGATCTCGTTACAGGGTGTATGATGAAGAGGCGAGGCGAGGTTCGAAAATCTGCTAGCCTCGAAATCTGCTTGCCTGGCAAGACAACAACTCTACAAGTAGATCGAGCAGCTCTTTTCGTGATCGCGATCAGCAATCATGTATTGGAGTCTGTCATAAAAGTCACCTCAACACGGTACTCCACTCTTGCCATCTGTTTGTGTATCCTGCAAGATGAACATTAATGCCGTGAGAGCACAAGGAGACTATTTACCTCCCTCACAACGTTCTCAAGGAAGTGAATCCGATGCAGAAGAATCTTTCGTTCGACCTCGTTCTGCTCGAGAAAGCTTTCGAGCTGTTCTTGTCCTAGTGCAACCGCCTGCAGTGGAGAGATGAGAGAAGAGCAAGTCATGGTTTGAGATACTTTGTGCCAGAGGTCATCAAATCTGTCCCTCTTCTCCTTTTCCAAAATCTCGATCGCGTCGTTGGCAACGTCGAGTTGTTTCTGGAGAGATTCTACCCTCGCGGACAAAAGCGCGCAAGTGTTCTCGTCCACCTCGGCAGCCTTCACATTGGAGCTCTTGATTGATATCCCAACCTCATGGGATGTATGGGGGTCTGTTGAATCCGCTGCTCTTGTCAGATGCCTCAGTACATCAAAAAGCGCTTGAGCCGACAGCTCTGCTCCTGTCGACTGACTGGAGCGGCTTGTGACATGGGACGAGTCTGCGCTGATCTCCCCTCCTTTCTCTTCAACGTGTCTCTTCCAGTGAGCGAATGTTGCTCGTTGACGGATCAGAGCATTCAACAATCTGAGACTACAAGCGCCATCAGCGAGGATCTCCTCCTCTTCCTCGCCGTCTAGCCGCCATGCTAGATCCGAAATCGCTGCTGGAAGTCGCGGACACCTTCTGTTGGTGCTGGGAGGGCTGCTATTTAGTCTTGCAGCTTGCGCTTCACCCCCACCCAGCCGTCTGCAGAGGAGCTTGCAAAGAAGCACGAGCATCACGAGGTCGAGGTATCATATTGCCACCATCACGACTCTGGTTCTTCCGTTCTTCTCCTTCATCGCCTCCGATCGCAGATCATATTGGATCCAGTCTAACGGTCAACAGTATTGTTTTAGCTTATTGCTTTTTAAAGTGTGTAATTGTTTTAGCTCCCATCACATCTGACTGTCCTCGTACTGATTATTAACTTAACCTTGAGTAAACTTTAAAATATCCATCAGTACAAATCTGAGCTGGCTCCGGTCCCCGTCCGGCGTTCCAATTTTCGTGTCCTGCAAACCTTCTTTATTGTTGATCGTTAACATTTTTGTTGCCCAGCCCTGTACACCTACCCCTTTCCCCCTCTTACTTCCCCACCCTACCCCCACCCCCCCCCTCCATGACGTCGGTTGGCCTCTCGCACTCAGTTCTGCACCCCCACCCCCCCTCCTATTCCCACTCCCACCCCCTCACCAAGATAAGACTGGGGTAATAATACCCCACCCCCTCTACACCCTGTCGGGGAAAGCTCGATAGAGAAAGGAGTATGGTGGGTAGTTGAGGAGTCATGGGTAGTCTGGTAGTATCGAAGTACACAGATCTTCGAAGGAGTGGTGGGTACTGAGAGTTGACTTTGTGGGGTAGGTAGGGGGTGGTTCCGTTGTGACTAAGGAGGTACCCAAGGGACAGTAGGGTAGGGTAGGGGGTAGGGATAGGAAGTTAGGACTTTTTTTTGTTGGTTAGTACGACATGATGAACAAAGAGACCAGGAGGAGGAGGAGGAGGAGGAGGACGAGGACGACGACGAGGAGGAGAAGGAGGAAGACAGGAGGAGGATGATCAGAGGAGAAGAAGGATAAGATGAACAGAGTGAAGGAGGCAAAGATTACACGAGAGAAGGATCAGTACACAAAGAACCACGAGGGGGCGGAAAGGAACCGAGAAGCAGGAGTAACGATGAGGTAGTCGATTCGATCGAGGGGAGCTGGTACAGACACAGAGAATAGCCATGACCTATGATGTTTCCCTGCCTCATTCTTGCTTGAGTAGGAAGCCAATCTGATAGCTATCTCTGAAAGGATCTTTTACACAACTGTCTTGCAGGTTGGTTCAGCCTCTCACGATGTTGGCGGCGTTTGGTGGTTGCCAAGCAGGATTTTGAACGTCTGGTATTGCGTTGAACTCCAGGTGAAGTTGCGACGTAGAGATCATGGAAAGTCTCCAGTCGCAACTCAAAGAGCAGAGCAGAAGGCTAGAGCAGCTCGAAGAAATCAGCCGCCGCGAGGACGAGGAAGACTATGTTTCGGACCATGGCGAATGGATAGATTGCGTGGGATGCGCCTCTCCCATAAAGCCGGGCTGGCCGAGATGTCCTGGATGCAAGTTGGAGACCAAGAAATCCATCGAGCGACTTGCCAAGAAGAAGCGGGACTCCTACTCGTCCAACGGTCACAATGGCGAGGATGACAGCATCCGGAAGTCGCTACAAGAGGAGCTGAGCAAGACGTTCCCTGCCTCCTCCTTGTCCAACGCGCGTGCATCCAAGGATGTGCAGCCCAACGGATCGCAGAAGAGCTTGCCGGACACACAGAAGAGTAAGGCAGAGGCCGTCGAGCCTCCGATCAACGGGAATGGCGACAAGTCGGATTTGCATCATGTGAACGGAGGAAACCACGCCTGGACATCTGATCATTGCGAGTTTGGGACGCAGACTGACACTGTCATTGCTCATATCTGGCCAGACACGTTCGAAGATCCTGTAAAGAAACAGCTTGAAGAGCCCAAGGACGATTCAACTTTCGATCGCATTGAAGACACAACTCCGGTCAGCTGTAGGTTCTTGTTCGGTGGTTTCAGCTACCAGTCTCTGGTCAGGAAGAAGTGCTTCGATGTGCATAAGAGCCCTTTCTGGGGATCCTTCTTTGTTCTTGTCACTATCGCCAATGCTGCGGTCATTGCTGTCCGCCCTTCCCTCTCCCCCGACTTCAATACAGATGCTTCCGGCGCTTCGAAAGTGTCAACTCCGCTGTCCGAGGCCTTTGACTTCTTCTGTGTCGCCGTCTTGTTCTGTGAGGTTCTGTCAGGATGCATTGCCTTCGGCTTCCACGCATGGATCCACTCGGACTATCACAAGCTCGACTTTGCAGCGCTCCTTGTCGTCGCTCTCGAGTACGGTGCTTCTGCCTACGGCGAGAACGCGTTGATTCTCAGGTGCTGCCTTTTCAGGGTCAGGGGCGAGGAAGCTGACGGGGTTTGCTTGCAGGCCATTTCGTATCCTGAGGATTCTCCGACCGCTAGTGAAGCTGGAGATGTTCGGCAAGCTTGCCGAGATCCTGCAGTCTCTGCACGAGGGAGTCGACGAGTTGGCCACAGTGTTTCTCCTCCTCCTCTTCTTCCTTATAGGGTTTTGTATCCTCGCCATGGCCGTGCTGTCCAAGTCGTTCCGCAGGAGGTGCGTTATGCTTCCTTATCGCGTTTCCGACTGTGCGTCGGACTTCTCCACGGGCTGGGCGAACTCGTCCTCATGCTCATTGAGCCGGCAGAGCTACAGCATGGCGGCAGGAGGAGACGTCGTTGTGACTGCGGGCTATCCTTACCAGACCACTTGTGACTACGTGACGAACAAGACGGCTGGAGAGTACGACGGGATCTACCCGCTCGATCCCTACCGGGGCATCTACCACACGTGCCAAGCATCGATCCTGAGGACCTACGGATGGCAGTACATGAAGCAGACTTGCGTCGATGTTGGAAACCCGCAGAATGGATATCAACACTTTGACAACTTTGCCGGCGCCTTCGTGGCACTGTTCCAGTACATGACAGCTGACTCGGCCTACGACGTGCTCTGGTACGCGCTGAACAGCGAGCATGAGCCCGCGGCCAAGGCCATTGTGGCGATTATGCTCTTTGCCGTCTCGATCTTCTGCACTTGGATCCTCCTTGGAGTGTTTGTCGGAGTGGTGACAGGGACGTTTGCAAGGATCAGGAGGGAGAGGAAGGAGCACGAAGACGAGCTGACGAGCCTATCGAGCGGCGAAGAGTCCATCGCTGCGAACCCCAGGGTGATACAGAGCGTGCAGGTGGTGAACGCGACAGGATGGAAGCTTGACTCGCGCGTCAAGATCGAGGACTTTGCCAGGGCCGTGGCCAGCCACCCTCATTTCGGGAATTTCATGTCCTGTGTCATCCTAGTCCACGCTCTGACCATGGCGTTGAACCGTCACGACGCTGAGCAGGGGATCAAGAACTGGGCGCTGTATGGCTACGTCATCTACAACTGCATCTACTCCGTAGAGTCGTTCTGCTACGCCATCGCCTCCTCCAACTTCACCTCGTACATCAGAAACCCGTTCTACTTCTTCGAGTTCGCCCTCGTCATCCTCATGTGGATTGCAATCTTCGTGGGCAGCGACGCGCTGATGCTGGTGGGAGCGATCAGAATCTACCGGCTGATGCGATACTTCCCTACCCTCTACGACCTCCTCTATGCTGCCCTGGCCTCCACCCCCTCCCTTGCCCACCTCATCGTGTTCATCTGCCTGGTGGGGTTGGCGTTCTGCGTGACAGGACGGTACGTGTTCCGAGACAAGATGGACTCCCTGACGCGAAGCAACTTCGGCTCCTTCTACATCTCCGTGTTGACCTCCTTCCAGATCTTCACGGGAGACTCTTGGTCAGGCATCCTCTACAGCGCCATGTCCTCGAAAGACACGACCCTCGGCGTCGTCTTCGGCTGTCTGCTCATCATGGCATGGTTCATCTTCGCTCAGCTCATCATCTCAAACCTCTTCATCGCAATCATCATCGAGAACTTCGAGGTCCTCCCGCGTCCTTTGCTCTCCTCGCTTCTCCCTTGTGTCTCACATTTCTTCTCTCCTCATGGCCCTGCTCCTGCTCCTCCCCCTCCTCCTGCTCCTGCTCCTCTTGCCCCTGCTCCTTGCGCTCCTCCTGCCCCTGCCCCTGCCCCTGCCCCTCGTCCTCCTCTTCCTCCTGCTCCTGCTCCCCCACCCCACCCCCCCTCCTGCTCCTCCTCCTTACCTCTTGTGCCAGGTGGCAAGAACCATTGCAAACATCGAGAAGCCGGGGCTCGCTAAGAAAAGCCTGGATGTTGTTCGGTCCTACTACGTCAGTTTCTTTGACTCGATCCAGCCCTCGCGCGTCGCTCCCTTCTCCTCCTCCTCCCCTGTGCTAGAAGTTCAGCTCAAGACCCCTGTGGTTCCCTTGACCAGGACCCGGTCGATCTACCTTGATTCAGAGATCACAGTCAAGTCCAAGGTAGGAAGGCTAGTCCTTGAAAAGCTCAGTTTGCTCCCGGAGGATGACTTGGCTGAGGAGGCTAAGCCTGAGAGGATCCTGTACTGCCTGGAGGCTGGGCATCCCATCCGAAGGCTATTTGCGAGCTTGGAGTCGAACGTCTACTTCGACTATCTCATCCTCCTCTGCATTCTCGGCTCCTGCATTATTCTCACCATCACTCCTCCTGCCGACGACATCCCTCACCTCGACCTGCCCATGACGAAGCAGCAGATCGACTCAGCCAACTTCATCTTCACTCTGGTCTTCACTCTGGAGTTCATCATGAGGGTGATGAGCAAGGGTATGCTCTTCACCAAGACGGCTTACTTCCGCGACGGCTGGAACATCGTCGACTTCACCATCCTCTGGTTCGCCTGGCTCGAGGCGTCCGGCGTGCTCAACGGTCAGCCCTCGCTCACCAAGCAGGCGCGTCTCTTCCGAGCCCTTCGACCGATCCGCATTCTGAAGCGAAGTGCCGCCATGAAGAAGATCATCAACGCGCTCATCTGCACCATCATCCCTGCCCTCTACGTGGTCGCCTTCCAGTTCTTCAACCTCGTCGTGTTCTGCTTGATCGGCATGGGTTTGTTCGGCGGGAAATTCTACAGGTGAACTAGGAAAGAAGGGGAGAGGAGAGGAGAGGAGAGGAGAGGAGAGGAGAGGAGAGAGGGGATAATGAGTTGGCTTGGCAGGTGTCTCCCAGGAGGAGCAGACTATCCGGCTGGCATCGTCGAGTGCTCGGGGCTGAGCGTGTCGGAAGGCGACGGGCTGCTGAGGCAGAAGGTCTGGTGGAAACCAGGATACTCCTTCGACGACTTTTACGACTCGATGATCACTCTCTACCGAGTTGGGACCTTCAAGTACGTGTCGGTCATCCAGGACGGGATGGACGTAACGCAAGTCGGTCAAAGCCCCGACCTCCTGCACTCCTCTTCCTACGGCCTCTTCTTCGTCGCGTACCTCCTTGTGGGCGGCCTGTTCGTTATGAACCTCTTCGTCGGCTTCATCGGTGCGGGGGAGGGGGAAGAGGGGAGGGGAGGGAGAGAGAAGACGAAGAGGGAGCCGTAGAAAGGGAGGCAGGTTCAGGGAGGAGGAGGAGGAAGAGGAGGAGGAGGAGGACAAGAGAGGTGTCTGACTACAAGAGCAGTCGATGGCTTCAACTACTCGCGAGGAGCGTCGGAGGTGGAGGTGATCTACTCGCGGTACAGGAGGATGCTCGGCTCCTACGGCCCCAAGTTCAACGTCTTCTCCCTCCCAACCAGCAAGCTGTCGACCCGCGTCAGAGCTCTCGTGGAGTCCAAGAGCTTCCAGACCTTCTCTGTCCTGTGCGTCACCGTCAACGTGATCTTCATGCTCACCGAGGACGCCAACGCTAGCGGGAAGTACAAGCAGCTGCTCTACGTGCAGAACACCTTCTTCTTCCTCGAGCTCGGCATGGAGGTGCTTCTTTACAGCATCGGGTACGGCGTGGGAACTTTCATAGATGACCAGTGGAAGGCCTTCGACCTCTGTAAGTTCCTCCTCCTCTCGCTCCTCCTCTCGCTCCTCCTCTCGCTCCTCCTCTCGCTCCCCTTGCTCCTCATCCTATCTCTGCTCTTCCTCCTCGCTTTTCTTATTCTCATTCTTCATCTCCTGCTCCCTCCTCACCCCCTCCTCCTGCCCGTCGTCTCCTACAGTCCGCGCTCTCCCTCTGACCTCCTCCTCCTCCAGTCGTCTTCCTCGGAACTCTTGCCGGCTACGCTGGCAACAGCCCCAAGTTGACGCAGTTCGCCAAGTCGTTCCGTCTGACGCGACTGGTCCGGCTCATGGCGCGCGTGAAGGCCATAAGGATCATTCTCGAGACCATGCTCGCCTGCATCCCCCGCGCCTTCAGCATCCTCTTCCTCCTCTTCATAGTCTACTCCATGTTCGCTCTCTTCGCTGTCGCCTCCTTCGGTACCACCCGCTATGGTGTCAGGATCGGGCCCACCGCCAACTTCGAGACCTACTCGAGATCCATCGTCACAGCCTACCAGCTCGTCACCGGAGATGAATGGTCTGATCCCTCCCTCCCCTCCCTCCCTCCCTCCCTCCCCTCTCCCTCCATCAAACTCCTTCTTTCTTCAATGCTTTTCCCTTCCCCACACAGCCTCTCATCCTCTCTCCTCCTCTCTCCTTCTCTCTCCTCCTCTCTCCTCGCCTCTTCTGCTCCCTTTCTTCTCTCAACTCTCGCTCTGCAGGATGGACATGATGTACGACCTGCGGGTGCAGCCGCCGGCCTGCACGAAGCTCTTCACAGCAGCGGTGCATGGGATGAGCGACTACGACTACAGCTTCGGCGACTGCGGCTCCTCCTTCTCCGACCTCTACTTCGTCGTCTTCAAGATCATCTGCGAGTGCATGGTGAGTTCAGCTAGGAAACGAGATGGAGCAGGATGGGGGGAGAGGCGCGGGGAGGGGGGGAAGGGAGCGCAAAGGGATGGGAAGAGGTGGGAGAAAGAAGGGGGAGAAAGAAAATCTGACGAGCTCTTTTCAGCTTCTGAATCTTTTTGTTGGAATGATCTTAGAGAACTTCAGGTTGGTTGATGATTTCTTCTCTCCCTCCTCCTCTTCCTCCCCTTCTTCATTCCTTCGCTTCATTCCTCTCCACCTTACTACTTTCCTCTCCTCTCCTTCATCCTACCTTTAACTCGCATCATAATGATCACCAGCCTTCTTCTTCTTCTTCTTCTTCTTTATCATCATGATCATCATTATCATCACCACACCATCCTCCTCCTCGTCCTCCTCCTCGTCCTCCTCGTCCTCCTCGTCCCCCTCCTTATCATCGTCATCATCATCATCATCATCATCATCAAGAAGCTCTTTCCTGCTTTCCCTGACGCTTCTTCAGCTTCATCACCGACGAGGTCGATCAGAAGCAGGACGACGACTGGACCAAGGGAGCAACTGCGGAGCAGCTAGAAGAGATCGGCGGGACTTTCCAGCGCCTGTCAAGGGGCTGCGTGAACATTCAGCTCTACCACCTCTCCACCTTCCTCTGCAACATCAACCACCCCGTTGGCTTCCGCCTGCAGGACAGGGAGGCGCTGAAGCTGTACCCGGAGGAGACGGTGGGGAAGGCGTACGGGTGGAAGGAGGAGGAGGAGCGCTTCTTCCTGCACGGCAGCGACGAGAGGGCATACGAGTGGCTGATCCGCGCAGAGCTGAACCTGTGCTTGAAGCAGCACAGCGACATGGTTGAGCAGAGGAGGTCCTCGCTCTGGTACTCCCTTCTTGACGTCTTCAAGATCAGGACCACCCGATCCTACATCAACTTTGTCAGGTGCTCCTTGCTCCTTGCTCCTTGCTCCTTGCTCCTTGCTCCTTGCTCCTTGCTCCTGCTCCCAGCCTCTTCTGAGCCTCTGTCATGTAGGTGGGACGATGTGATGAGCATCATCGTCTACTGGAGGAAGCCGGAGATCGTTCCATCGAGCGAACTGATTTCTCGAAGAGCTAGGATGAAGCAGGTTGACTCGTCTCGTCTCGTCTCGTCTCCTCTCGTCTCCTCTCGTCTCGTCTCGTCTCCTCTCGTCTCCTCTCCTCTCCTCGCCTCGCCTCCTCTCGCCTCCCCTCGCCTCCCCTCGCCTCTCCTCCACCTTACCCTGCAGCAGGTGCTCAAGATGGCCTACTGGCTCAAGCTCTACACGGCCCTGAGGACGAAGATGTCGACGAGATTCGTGGGCGCGGCGAAGCCCATCCTGAAGGAGCAGAAGGAATACAAGGAGTGGGAGGAGCAGCAGCCGTTCGCGGTCCTCCATCGGCAGCGCAACATGAAGAGGAGGCAGGACATGAAGCGAGTCCAGGCCAAGGGCTGGGCATCCCATCCCCAGCTCGTGCACAGCATCCAAGTCACCAGGAAGACGGAAGGACTCTACTACCAGGTGCTCTTGCTCTCAAACCTCTCCTGCTCCTCCCCTTGGTCCTACCATCCTCCCGTCTTCTGCCTCCCTTCTTCTTCCCACATGTCTCCTCCTCTCCTCCTCTCCTCCTCTCCTCCTCTCCTCCTCTCCTCCTCTCTTCCTCTCCTTCATTTCTTCAACTTGTTTCTTCCTCGATCTCATCTTTTCTTCCCTCCCTCTCTTCCCCCGCAGGACCACATGACGGCTGAGAGCAACATGTTGGGCAACCGCAACCCGACGAGCAAGTCAGGACTTGAGACTTTCCTGAAGCGATCGGAGAGCGACCTGGTCGTAGTTCGCTTCCTCGACACCAGGAACAAGCAGAGGTCCCAACCCTTGCTCTCCTCCTCTCCTCCTCTCTTCCTCTCCTCCTCTCCTCCTCTCCTTCTCTCCTCCTTCGTTCCTCTTAGTCCTCTTCCATCCCTCCTTGACTCCTCCATCAGGTTGGGCGAATGCTTGATGGACCTCAGAAGAGCTTCCTGGGTTGGTGAGTAGAAAAGCCCGTGGGGTCCCTCCTACTCTTCCTGCTCCTCCTGCTCCTCCTCCTGTTGATGCTCTTGCTCCTCCTGCTGATCCTCCTCCTCTTGCTCCTCCTGCTCCTGCTCCCCCCCCTCCTGCTCCTCCTCCTCTTGCTCTCCTCCCACTTCTGAAGTAGCATCTACGACTACGACAACAACAATGCTATCTTCTCCGCCCTTGCTGCTGTTCGTCCTCCGCTTCCCCCCTCCTCGTCATCCTTCCTCCTTGCTTGTCCTCAGTGAACGAGTTCAGGTTGGGAGTCTGCCATGGAGCAGGAGCACTGTTTCTTCGAGCCCAAGGCCATTCACAATGGCAAGGGAACCGTGAAGTGGATGGGATTTGACGTCACAATGAGCAGCGAATTTCAAGTGCGAACTCCTCTCCTGCCTCCTGCCTCCTGCCTCCTGCCTCCTGCCTCCTGCCTCCTGCCTCCTGCCTCCCATTACCTCCTCTTTCCATTCTCTCCTCTTCCCTGCTTTCTTCCTCCTCCTCTCCCAACTCCCCCCCCCCCCCCCAGCTTTCCTCCCCCCTCGCCTTCCTCCTTCATCCCTGACCCTCCCACAGCGCTCGGAGCTGCTCCTTGGCAACCTGCTCTCCGTGCATGTCGGCCTGCAGGCGGAGCGCGAGGACATGCAGGACGCCTCCTACTCGCATCACTCCCGCGTCTGGCTCCACATAGGAGAGTACCCCTTCTTCCCCCGCTACGGGGAAGAGGAGCAACCGGTCTCCTACCTCCGCAAGGCTCAGTCCATCGTCATCCAGGCAAACTCCTCCATGCCGGACGCCATCCGCTCCGTCGACATGGCGACCTGCTACCCGAGGAGCAAGATCGCGATCCCTCCCCGCGGAAGGTACGGGAGCAAGGGAGAGCGTGGAAGGAAGGAAAGGGAGGAGGAGAAGGGGAGGAGAGTATGAGGGGAGAGGAGCGAAATGTAACGTCGGTCCTGCAGGAAGCTGCCTGAATTCTTCGATGGGGTTGCGGAGGTGATCGGCTACGTGCGCGATGCCCGAGGCCACCTGGAAGACGTTGGAGGGCAGGAGAGATCGTAGGGCCAGAAGAAAATCACAGATAGGAGGCCCAGGAGGAGGAGGAGGAGGAGGAGGAGGAGGAGGAGG